GGCAGCACTAGCTGGTCACACCAGTCAGAACTGGTGTGCAGCCTCCAAACTCCCCTCTCCAGGAATAAGTTGGGGGGCAAGCGCAGTAGGGCTGCAGCCTGAGCAGGGGGCTCAAAGCTGGGCTCAGAATCCAACTCTGCCGCCAAGGTCATCATGCTCTCCTGAGCATGCAGCAGAACTTCCAGCAGCACGGTGTGGGGCCATCACCTGCCCAGGGGCAGCTCAGGCTCCATGGCTAAAAAAGCCAAATTAACACACAAACAAAAGAACAAAAGAAACAAACAAATGGACAAAAATACAAACAAAGGAACAAAAAACCAAAAAAGCCAAAACCTAAACAAACAAGCAAACAAACACACGAGCAAACACAGAAGCAAACACACAAACAGACAGACAAACCAGAAAATAAACAGCTTGGTGTCCGACAAAGCAGGGCATCCAGAGCCAGAAAAACTGCAGCAGCTTTGCTTTCCCTGTATAAGGTAGGCAAGCCAGAAGCAGGAGCAGAGCTACGGCTGTCCAGGAGTATCCCTTTAAGCACGCGTCTCTACAGAGAGCATGCAGCAATGCCTGGGCTTTATGGCTGCCCCTGTGACCTTCCAGAAGCACTTCCGGATGCCTTCTTCTGTTGACAGAGCGTCCTGCAGTCTGGACGCTCTTTGTCGACAAAACTCATCGCTTTGTTGATAAAGCGATGTAGTCTGGACGCTCTATGTCGACATAAGTTTTATTGACAGATTCTGTTGACAAAACTTATGTTGACGTAAGCCTGTAGTCTAGACGTACCCTTACAGAAGAGAGGCTCCCTTCTCAAGAGCCACAGAAAGTGTGGATTAATGTAAGTCCCTTCCTGCAGGCTTAAGGAAGCCATGGTGATTTCCATTTCCTTACCTAGCCTCTTTTCCTTACCTAGCCCAATGATGAAACCAAAGAAACTTTCCTCCCCCAAACCCTTATGAAGACAGAGTTATGGTTGCAGGCACGTATTAGTGGTTTGACAGAATATTGCCTCTCAAAAATGGCAATATTCCAAGATTAGACTGCCAGCAACTGCAAAGACAAAGTTTTACTTCTCAAGTCAGGCACCCAAACTACCTCCACCCTGCCCTCCCAGCAGCGCTCTAACAGATAGACTTATCTATCCAGGCCTACCACAGCCAACCAGTTACTTTTGATCACAGACCGTAAAAGCTTAGTTGATAACCATGAATATATTGCCTTTATGGCGCCACATACTACTCAATGTAAGTAAAGATGGCATTGTGGCTGGGATAATTCACAGCTTCCTTTATAGCCACCTAAAACATGCCCAAACACATTTACAGACTCTGACACATAACATGCTAAAGGTATATATGCCTCAAGTGAGGGTCTGATCCTGCAAAGCACTAAGGGAATTCAGGCCCAGATACTGAAAGGTATTTAGGCAGCCAACCCATCTGAATACATTTGAGGATCTCGGCCTCAGTGCTTCTCAGGAATGCTGAGCACTCCATAGGCATGTCTACACAGCAGCATTATTTCAAAATAATAGAGTGCGTGTTTACACAGCAAGCCCATTATTTTGAAATAATGTCAAGTTGGAGGGCTTCTTACTCTGACTTCTGTGACTCTCATTTCACAATGAGCAAGGAAAGTTGAAGGAAGAGTGTTCTTCCTTCGACTTCCTGCCGTGTAGACAGTGTCAAAAGCTAAGTTAAGGTACTTTGATTTAAGCTACACAATTAATATAGCTGAAGTTGCATAGCTTAATTCTAGTTTAGCCTGCAGTGTAGACGTACCTCCTGAGATTTGACCCTGTGGTAGCCAATTATCCACGTCATTACACACATCACCATACATAAATCTCATGTACCTACTAAAATACTTACACAAAAAGAGCAGAAGTTAGTGTGTTGACATTATTATTATACTTAATACAGAGACATGTACATACAAAAAATTACAAAGGCAATGTTCTGTGGTACACAGCTTTGATATGATATAGGTTAAGAAGGAAGATGGAGGCTGACATCAATAAGGATCAGTCTCAGGGAAATTTGGAACATTCTAGGTTTCTAACAATTGAGGGTTTATTTATTTACTTATTTCCTCTTCTGTTTTTGGAAGGTAATATACACTGAAACCACATATAACTGAATGCAAGCTTAAGAAAGATCTCAGTGTACAAATAGCCACTGAAGAATGATTTTTTATTGAGATAATCTTAGCAAAAAAACCCAAAACAATCTTTTCAGCTGAATTACTAAAAATTTGTGTAGTGGTATTTCCAATGGGTGTTTTATTCTCATTTTTCACAGAGCTAAGTCCATTTTCATTTACATGCATGCATTGCTATAATCCTTAGGGACCTAATGATATGGGTAGAAATATTCATGCCTTTGTGAGTCAGGTTCCTAATGAGTATTTACATGCATTTTCCTTCAAGCACTCGTCTGCCACTTTGATGAATTACGTACCAGAAGGCACTAAGGTGAACTAGTTGCTCCAGCGTCATGCATGGGAAAGCAAGATGAACTGCTAATGAGGTTAAAGGAAATGTAGTCAGCACCAATGTTAACTCACATACGTTTGAATATCCACATAGCAAGGTATTTTCACCTAAAACGATTTCTGCGGCTTTCTTGCCTACTGAGCTATAGCTTATTTGTTTCTTTTGAAAGCCTGCCGAAGAACCCATCAGTTGCAAGGAAACAAGGACACCCATCAGGAGCAATGAAAACCTATTTTTTTTTTAAAAAGCAGCTATATTTTCATGAATGTTGACGTATCTGTTAACATTTCCTCTCGCTCCATCTCCCACCAAATTATTTCCTTTGTGAAAAATCTGTCAGTGATTTCCCAGTTACTCCGTGAGCAATACTTGGGACCCAATTCTTTGCAGCTGCTCCTTTTGAGGGACTCCCCTTGACTTTAAGGGGTGGTGGTGTTTACTCTCAAACCTACTGCTATAGACGGGGGGCCCAGAACTTCCACCATACTCGGGCATCACTCCACTCAGTGTTACGCAGTCTAATCCTAGGTGGTATCCTGCCCAGTAGAATCCTCAGTGCCAAACAAAGCACCCAGGCTGCCCGTACAAGGCATGTTGAGAGTGAAGTACCTAAGACAGGGATTTTCAGAAGCCAGTAGGTGAACTGGGAGCCTCCTAAGCTGGCCAGGAGTGAAATGCCAAGGAAAAGAGCAGGGAGAAGGACTTAGGTGCCTAAGCAGCTGAGCTGATCTCTCTCTCTGTGCCAGAGATAAGGGTCTCTCTCTAATGGGGAACTTTAGCCATGAAGGAGGGAGGCACCAAAGCCAACTGGTTAGGTGGCCCATGGCCTAGCAACTGAAACCATTGATCTTACTCTTTGCCCCCTGCTCATGCACGACAGCGCTGTAATTATTACATCTGCTGAGTGTTGGAGTACACCAAACCCCTAAGGTGACTTGGAGGAAGCAGCTAAGCCTTTTAAGAGTAGTCCTGGTGGGCTCAGATAACCACTCTGACCCATGGTGAAGGGGAAGGGTATTGTACAAGGGCTCTCAAGAAAGCCAGTGGCTGCAGTGACAATTCAAAGTGTGTGTGACAGCAGCACATGATTCCGTCCTGTGGCAGGACAGTGCAGAGACAAGGCACTTCACTCCACAGTCCCATCAGTAATCTAAGCAAATTGATGCTTGCAGATTTCCTGGCCTGGCACAGTTAATGTCTCTCACCACCACCTCTCTGTGCTAACTTCCTGACCAGCCCCTGCTGCTTGCCTCTCTCGTCTCTCCTTTAGTTGGAGAGATGTGGGTGCTGTACTGTCCCTTCCGCTGGCCTGTATTTAGCCCTACCACTGCAGAGTCTGACAAGTATCAGTTCTTAGGCTGAACTTTCCCTCCATGCCACCACCACCAAGTAACTCAACCACTGGCTGCCACTCTCCATATAACCCAGCTAATAGTCGCCCCCTTGCATTAACAAATAGCAGCCACCACTGGTCTTGAAGCCCCGATCAATGGAGAGGGCCCAGTGCTGATTAAATTACTAACCTAATGAATTACTGCTGACATTTTTTAGAGAACCCCGTACAAAACACGTTCCCCCCCAGACACAACCTCTTTCACCCAGCACTGTAGTCTGCCCACAATATGTGTCAGGGGTGGCCAAGTGAGTCCCATGCAGCTCTTTTACAGTTAAAGTGCAGGTCCCAGAACCCTCTTGCCCCCTCTCCCAAATTCTTTACCTAAAAGAAAGGGCAGAGAGAGCTCAGGATTTCTGCCCTGTGGCAGGGTGGAGGGGACTAGGGGCTTCTGCCATGTAGGGGGGAAGGTCTAAGGGCTTTAGCCCAATGGGGAAGCCCCACACAGGAGCAAGTTGGGCATGTCTTGTGGCTCTCATACATCTGAAGTTTATTGTATGTTGTAAGTTTGGCCACTTCAGACATATTTATTTTTAGTATTTTATATTTTTTGTATCTTATCTGAAAACAGCACCACCATCGGGACCGCCAGGGGTATGTATTGCAAAGCACTCTAACATGTCCCAAGTTGTTTTTTTAAAGGAAAAAGGCAGTACAAAACCAAATAGCCAAATAGCAACCCTCTAAAGGTATGCTCAGGACAAAACTATGGGATTGGTCCTGCTGGAGAGAGAGATGACCCTACATGACCATTTTGTTTGGTAAAACTTTTGTTGGTAAGGGGTATGAAAAACCCCCACATCCCTGACCAACATACATTTTAATGGCAAACGTGCAGGTGTGGCCAGCCACTCTTTTGGGTCATTTACTTATGCCAGCAGAAGAGCTCTCCCCTGATGGCAAAGAGCAGCTATCTGGGAGACCTTCCCTAAGGCCCCTGAGGCTTTGGTATGAGCTGGGGCTCAGGGCTGCCCACTAGTTGTGGAGTGGCATTAGGCTTAGGTACCTTTGAAAATGCCAATTGGTAGGAATTAGGCAGCTAGAGAATTAGGCAGCAGTGGTGATTATCTGATAAATTTGGGTGCCTAAAGAAGCAGATAGGGGCCTAAATACCTTTGAGGAGCTGGGTCTTGGACACTGAAGGTGTAGTCCTAGGCAAAATCTACAACCAACGGCTTCATCATTTGGGGTACCAGTTGTTTAAAGTCTCTTGGTAATACTGCAGATAACTAAAGTGAGAAGAAAGAAAGAATTAGCTGATTCTCTCGTTGGAAGAAACAAGGCATTGGTTGCAGCAGAACTGTCATCCACCTAAGCAATAATAATGGAGGTGCACAGCATTTCTGTGGGATTGATGGCCAGATGGGAAAAGCTGATGGCCTGAGACATAACAAGGGCCATTAAACCTAGGCTGTCATTATTTCCATGCAATGCTTTCTGTTAAGGTAATTATCGCTGTTATAAATGGAAGATCCTAAAAACCAAAGCAAACCCTGACATATGGATTTTTTTTTAGGTGGGCAATGCAGATCCGTAGGCCATTACCCTTGTCTCAAGACTCACTTTAGAGAAGCCCACAAAAAAGGGCAGGCTGCATACCGGAAAGCTGGGATAGAAGAGATTTGTATTCATTATTTTGAAAGAGTATGCATAATGCATAATGAAATATATACATTTCATCCCTCTCCCTCAACTATCTTCTTAGAAAGTAGGCTTTTTCAGCTGTATTTCATGGCTTCTGATGTGCATATGCAACACTCACAATGTGGGTGGGGCATTTGAGCACTTCCACAATGCACACAAACAAACATATAGGATATTTTAGACCATGAATGACTTACAGATCAGTGATACAGACTGCATGAACCCTTTCTCAATGTTTCTGTTAGAGAGATACAAAGAAAGCCTTCACACACATGAGAAAGAATGAAGTGTAAGCATGAGTGTAATATTATGCATGTTCCTCTCCATTTAATGTATTCTTGAAAACAATAGCTTTCTGTACCCATTATTTTCCTCCTTCACTGCATTTCTGGTCTATTCTTTGATACAGAACCTAACAAAGTTAAGGCAGGTCAAATTTGGGGCACAAGTTATTTAACCACATCTATTTGAAAACTGTCCATTTAGACTCAGTCACAGATATTTATCATCCTTTTTTGGTTTTGATTTCCTTTTAAGCAGACTACATAAGAGCATATGGTCAGATTCTTGGCCCCACTTGGCACTGATCAGGCAGTGCTGAGGGACCTGGAGCTTCCCTAATTGGGCAGCTCAAGGCGTGCCTAGTGTGAGGCATCCCAGGTGGTGAAAGGTAGGAGAATCAGCACTGTACCAACCTCAGCTGTTCTTTAGTGTATGTGACATTTCAGAGGTGAGGCAGGGGTGGAACATGCTATGCTCTGTCAGTCCTTACCACTATAACAGCAGCTAATGCATAGCAAATCAGAGCAGTTGAGAGCAGCCCTAAGTGTTGATGTTGAACAGAGCTTCATGGTTTTGGTCCATAAAGACCATTAGCCCAATAAACCCTTAGACCAGCTGTCATGTCTCTTAGTTCTGTTTATTGGTAAACAGAAAAAATGACACTGCTGCAGATACTTTGTAAAGCATTTTCCAATTTGATGTAATCTCTACCTTCTTACTGACTATAAATGTATGTCCTTTTTATGGTGGAAGAATTTTGGTTTTAAACACTGCATTGCTTGAAAGTCAATAAAAAATGTTATTCCTATTTCAGTTTTCAATTTCTATACGGAATTTCGTATATGGAATTTACCTTGTGATAAAATAAAAATATCAAATACCGCTGATATCCATAACACTTCCCATTCTATGACATACGAGACAAGCAAACAAACTAGGAAATACTACAGTTATTTACTGAGCACCTATTTACACAATAGTAAAGGAAGAGACACAGGTGCTGAAATCTGCTTGTTAAGCCCTGAGTTCAGATGACTGCTACTAGCTCTATGAACATTTTCTTCCTAGAGTAAGAAGTGAATTCCTGTATCTTGACAAGGGTGACCTGTGACAAAGGCTGAAACATATTCTGGAGTCAAGAGTGGCTACTACTGAATTCAGTAGAGGGAGCATGTCCGTTCAGAATCATCAGCATTCCCAAAAGATGGCAACTTCTGACACATTGGAGCCATTTAATGAGACAGAAAAGGGTTAACAGGACCAACCTGGGGCGGGGTGGGGAGAAGGGAGCTAACAGGATCTGCAGCCCCACCCTGAATTTTGTACCAGGTGTCTACTCACCTTATCCCCAGATAGAGCTCTTAATTGCAACACAGATTGAGTAGGATGCATGTTGAATTCAGAAGCTGGGAACACCAATGAGGCAGGATGATTAAGATAAAAAAGGCTTGTCATTAAAATGAACTAAGGATCATTAGATGATCCTGAAAGCAGGTACTCTACTCAAAAGATAGGAAACAAAGAGTGGGCTAGCAGGAAAGGTTTGGGAAGGAGTTTAGAGGCAGAGTTTGAGGAGGGATAGATACATTTAGCATTCTTTACACAAAAAGCAAAATCACGCAATTTAAAAAGAATCAAGAAAGGAATAAGCGGTAGGAATTAAAAGAGAATGCAGCCCAGCAGCAGAGTGGGGTCTATCCTGTTTATTGCACCCAATGTAGCATGTATAATTACCCGCCTTATGGGTGCATTCGGTGCAAGAAGCTCGTGGCCCTCAGAGACTATGTACAGGCTTTGGAGACCAGGATGGCTGAACTGGAGGAGCTAAGGGAGGCAGAGAGATACACAGATGAGACTTTCCAGGACACAGTAGAATGGCCCCACCTCCTATTAGACAGCCTCTGTGCTGTTCAAGAGGGTGAAAGTCTCAGGAAAGGAAAACATCCAACTGGAGCAGAGGGAAATGATCCCATCCCTCCTTCCAGATGATGTTGTGATATCTTCTCACACTGAGGATCTCTCTCCAGGTGAGAGAACTCCAGTTATTAGGAAGAGACAGTCATTAGTAATGGAGTATTTGATCATTAGAAACAGAAAGATGGGTTTGAGATGGTAAGGAGAACTGCAGGGTGACTTGTCTGCCTGGTGCACAGATTGTGGATCAGACTTATGTGTAGTAGTGAGGAGGAGCCGGTGGTCGAGGCACATGCAAGTACTAATGACATAGGGAAGGATAAGAGAGAGGTCCAAGAAGCCAAATTTAGCTTCTAGGCAAGAGACTGAAATCCAGGACCTACATCATAGCATTCTCTGAAATGTTTTCAGTTCCACATACAGGGCTAGGTAGACAAGAGACCTTGCAGTTCTGCAATACATGGATGAGATGATAGTGTAGAGAGAAGGGGTTCAGATTTATTAGGAACTGGGGGAAACTCTGGGAAATGGGGAAGGATGGGCTACAAGAAGGAGGATATTGATATAGTAGGAATCACAGAAACTTGATGGAATAGGACACAGTAATATCAGGATACAAAAGATATTGGAAGGACAGAACAGGTTGTACTGCTGGGGGAGAGGCACTCTATCTGAAAGAAAGCTTAGAATCAAATGAGATAAAAATCTTAAATGAACCAAACAATTCCATAAAATCTCTATGGATAGTAATTCCATGCTCTAATAATATGAATATAGCAGTTATTAATATTACTGACCAACTGAAAGGAGAGTGATAGTGACTTTGAAATGCTAGGGGAAATTAGAGAGAGACTATAAAAATAATGGGAAATTTCAACTATCCCCATACTGACTGGGTATGTGTGTCATCTCGGGATGGGATGCAGAGATAAAGTATCTTGGCACCTTAAGTTACTGCTTCTTGGAGCATCTGGTTCCAGAACCCACATGAAGAGAGTCCTACGTAGAGTGCAGGATCTGGTCCAGTCCAAGTGGTGAATATAACTGGACCTCTTGGAAATAGCGACCATAATATCATTAAATTTAACATCTTTGTGACAGGAAAAACACTACAACAGCCCAACATGGTGGCATTTTATTTCAGAAAGGAGAACTATACAAAAATGAGGATGTAAGTTACAGAGGAATTAAAAAGTACAGAGCCAAAAAAGAACAAAATATATATTAAAATTTTAAACTTATCAGTGCCTTTAAGTGACTTGCCACAAGATGTCAGAACATGTTCTTATTAGAGCTGAGTGGATCTACTATTTGTCTTTCTTTTATACAGGAATTAAATACAGGGCCTCTGCCCAGCTAACTGCTAAATCAGATGCCAGAAAACTAGAGCTTTCAAGTGCTCCCCCCCCCAATCAAAATCTGAAATGGTGCCCAGAGAGTTAAACAAACCTTTTTGGACAAATCACTTGATCTAAAAATTTGAGACTGTAAAGGCAAAATATCAACAGACTATTCAAGTGGTTCTACAGTGTGATCACTGCTAGAAGTACATTGTTAAAGCTGGAATTCTTGACAGACAGTATTCCCTTTTGCGCTGCAACATTTCCTCTGTATGTGGCACTACTCAGTGCCAACAGTGTTTGTTTAAAACAAACAGGCTCAGATCTGAACAGGAATGAAAATCATAAGAATCCTTGACCCCTAAGACTGACCTTTTTTTGGTTTATGAACCATACCATTTCAGCTGCCTGCTCTCCATAAGCATACAAATAAATGTATGAAGAGCAATATAAAAAATAAAAAATAGGTATTTTTGGCTCTTAAGTTGGGATATCACATTTCCCAGTCTCCTGCTGTGAGGAATAACTTAAAAAAACCCCAAATAGTCTAATAGCCCCTTAAAGACTAACAAAACATAGGGTATGTCTACACTACCCCACTAGTTCGAACTAGCGGGGGTAATGTAGTCATCCGCAATTGCAAATGAAGCCCGGGATTTGAATTTCCCGGGCTTCATTTGCAATTGCGGATGACTATATTAGCCCTGCTAGTTCGAACTAGCGGGGGTAATGTAGTCATCCGCAATTGCAAATGAAGCCCGGGATTTGAATTTCCCGGGCTTCATTTGCAATTGCGGATGACTATATTAGCCCTGCTAGTTCGAACTAGCGGGGGTAATGTAGTCATCCGCAATTGCAAATGAAGCCCGGGATTTGAATTTCCCGGGCTTCATTTGCAATTGCGGATGACTATATTAGCCCTGCTAGTTCGAACTAGCGGGGTAGTGAGGACATACCCATATAGGCTACATCTAGACTGGCATGATTTTGCAGAAATACTTTTAATGGAAAAGTTTTTCTGTTAAAAGTATTTCCGCAAAAGAGTGTCTAGATTGGAAAGGATGCTTTTGCGCAAAAAGTGCATTTTAGCCATCGGGCTTTCTTGTGCAAAAAATTAAGGTGCCTGTCTACACTGGCCCTCTTGCGCAAGTATTCTTGCGCAAGAGGGCTTACCCCTGAGCGGGAGCGTGAAAGTATTTGCGCAAGAAGCACTGATTTTGTACATTACAAAGTCAATGCTCTTGCGCAAATTCAAGCGGCCAGTGTAGACAGCTGACAAGTTTTTAAATCTTGCCAGTCTAAACGCACCCATAAATTGTGCCCACGAAAGCTCATGATACCATCTACATGTTTTGTTAGTCTTTCAGGGTCTACTAGACTATTTGTTGTTTTTTAAGTTTTTCCTGTTACAGACTAACTCAGCTACCTCTCTGAAGCTCTGTTAAGATTGTTGGAGATAGCTGTATTGCTTTTATGAATATCCATGTTTCCATCTATGTCATGGGTTCCCAAACTGGGGGGCGTGCCCGGGGGGCGCGAGACGACACAGCCACCACCCTCCATCAATCCCACCCCAAGTTTTGCTGCTATTTTTTTGGGAGGGTGGTGTGCAAGAGTTTCTCAAAAATCAAAAAAGGGGCGTGATGCCGAAAAGTTTGGCATCAGAAAAACACTGATCTATGTCATTACTCTCATAATGGGTACGTCTACACTACCCCGCTAGTTCGAACTAGCGGGGGTAATGTAGTCATCCACAGTTGCAAATGAAGCCCGGGATTTGAATTTCCCGGGCTTTATTTGCATGAAGCCGGCCGGCGCCATTTTTATATGCCGGCTAGTTCGGACCCCGTGCCGCGCGGCTACACGCGGCACGGACTAGCTAGTTCGGATTAGGCTTCTAATCCGAACTAGCTGTATGCCTTGTTCCACGTTCCTCATTCCTCGAGGCATACAGCTAGTTCGGATTAGAAGCCTAATCCGAACTAGCTAGTCCGTGCCGCATGTAGCCGCGCGGCACGGGGTCCGAACTAGCCGGCATATAAAAATGGCGCCGGCCGGCTTCATGCAAATAAAGCCCGGGAAATTCAAATCCCGGGTTTCATTTGCAACTGCGGATGACTACATTACCCCCGCTAGTTCGAACTAGCGGGGTAGTGTAGACATACCCATAATGAGTATACATGCTGCAAGAGTTAGTCCTGGGTGGCCACATGTTGTCTGCAGAAAGGCAGACAATGGGTATATATAGCCCAATCACTGACACAAACAAAAAATACAGGTGTCAAGAGCTTTTGTTGATTTGTCCATGTTCAAGAAAATTGTGCTGGCTGAAGGCAATTGATAATAATGACTCTAATCCACTGTCACAGGCACAGGGTTTGGATAATGGAAAAATCCAATGGAGGTACAGGAAGTGACGAGGGTGTTAGAATCTGCTATTAAAGAAGCTGCTAACAGGGAAGAGCAGACCAGAACCAAAAGACAAGACTGGATAGGTGGCAGGAGCACTAAGGCAGGATATTACACGCCGAAGCTTATTATTTTTCCCTAAATGTGTACTTCCCCTTTGCTTTGCCTAAGTAAAGTATGATTAGTTTAGGAATTCCTTTGCAAATTGATGTGTCCCTTGCTTTATCATAAAGTCTCTGAAGGGTGCAACTGTAATCCATAGTAATCATGAATCTGGAGTTACGGAGGGCCCCAAAGTTTTGGAACAAGTTTACACCTAAAATTTTTGGCCGCTCTCTCTCTCTCACCCACCCACCCACCCACACACCCACACACCCACCCACAAAATTAGCAATTTTCAGGCGAAACAATGCTGGAAAACGCTCAACCCTGTTGGTTTTCTAATGAAAAATTTCAAAGTTCTCTTCAGAAAAACACAAAACCAAAACCATTTTCCAACCTGTTCTATTGTAGATACTCTTCTCTCAGCTCCTGCTCCTCGGAGGTTCATCTCCTTTCTTAGCCATTTGAGGCGATTTTAAATCCTATTTTTCTGGCATAAATTGTATTGGCATCATTCCCAATTATACTCCTAACTAGTTCCTTCTTTTCCCACTGTGAACCTCCTAAGCATTCCTGAATGTCAGCTCATTTTCTGTAACTCACTGTACATTACTTCAAAGTCTACTCTTCTAATGTGCAGTATTTTTTAACCACCGTACTTTCCACACCTCATCAGCATTTTACGCTTGATGACATTAGCTCCTAAGTTGTCTCCAAGTTCAATGTAGTTTATTATGCCTGGTTTACTCTCAGCTGTTGGATCTAGAATAACCTCTGTCATTATTCGCTGTTCAATGATTGTGTAAGAACACAATCCCATTACTGCTCCCAAGAATACGTCTCTGTCCTTCCTTAATCTTCCAAGCTGATTAATCAATTAACTCTAGAGCCAAGTTCTGCTCGATTACCTGGATAAAACTCCCACTGATTCATATAACTTAGAACAGAATTTGTCCCTCAAAGTTTTAATTTTCTAAAGTTCAGTTTCTTGTGCTCTGAGTCAGTGTAGAAAGTTATATTGCTCAACCTGTCTTTTCCATTGACTTAGCACTGATGCCTTCTTTACCAGTCGATAATTTATTTCCAAAATATCCAATTTCATGCCCAAAAATGCTTGCAAGGATAACCTGGAAACCCCCTTTTAGACTATTTGACTTTGCAGTATAGGGATGCTGGTTCAGGCATCTCATTAACATGGAAAGAAAGAGTAAGTGGGAAAAGAAGAAAAACTCTGCCTTAAAATTCTCCACCATCATCCATCTGAATTGCTGTTAAAAGATGATCCAGATCCAAGCAGCTCTGAGTGGTGAGAAAATTCAGATTCTATTTTGAATTTTTTACCCAATCTTTTTTTTTTTCAAAACAACAAGCTGCAACTCAAACTCCAGATTGAAACATTTATAAATTTCTGGGGATGTGGGTCCAAATTCAACTTTTTGAGACATATGTCCGTCTCGCTACAGTTTTAAGTATGTGAGAAAATTGCTTTCCAGTTATGAGTTTTGATCTCTGCCATCTGAGGCTGTTTCACACTGGTACATGGCTTCACTTTGACAACACAGTTGTCAGGCTTTACACAACTCTATCAGGGTACGTCTACACTACAACGTTAATTCGAACTAACTTAGTTTGAATTAGTTAATTTGAACTAAGCTAATTCGAACTAACGCATCTAAAACTAAAAACTAGTTCGAATTAGCGTTTTGCTAATTCGAACTAGCACGTCCACATTAAGTGAACCCTGAACCAGGCTTAAGGATGGCCGGAAGCAGTGCCGGCAGGGCATCAGAGGAGGACGTAGAACGTGGAGATGCTGTCCCAGGCTAGCCGAGGGCTGTGCTTAAAGGGTCCCGACCTCCACCCCGGACAGACAGTTCTCAGGGGTGCCCCGCTTGCAAAGCAGTCCTGGCTTGAGTGCCCTGAGTGCCCATACTGGGCACATCAAGGCACTCGGCCATCAGCCCGGCTGCACTTGCCGCAGGCTGCCATCTGGGGAGAGGGTAATGTAGGCATATCGCAATTGCAAATGAAGCTCGGGATTTGAATTTCCCGGGCTTCATTTGCATAAGTGGGGCGCCGCCATTTTTAAATCCCTGCTCGTTCGAATCCCGTGCCGCGCGGCTACACGCGGCACGAACTAGGTAGTTCGGACTAGGCTTCCTAGTCTGAACTACTGTTACTCCTCGTGGAATGAGGAGTAACGGTAGTTCGAACTAGGAAGCCTAGTTCGAACTACCTAGTTCGTGCCGCGTGTAGCCGCGC